ACACGTCACATATAGACACATGTTACCATCACACACAAACACATGACACACAGAGACACACTAACAAACACACTTAATTAATATCAATCTGTTTTATGTACATTAATATAAATTATTCAGTTTGAAATACTGATCAACTATTGTGAATCAATGATGAGAATTACTGACCTGATGAAATCCTGTAATAATGTATCTCATTACATCTCAAATCACCATAATAATTATTATACTGAGCATTAGGTTGCTTAGGTGTAGAAGATGATCCTAGTCCTCCAATTATTACAAGATAATCTTCACCGTCAAAATGAGCTGACACCATTCCACAGAATCCCTTCTTCATTGGACCATAATCAGAACTAGGAGAGAGTTCCCTCCACTTGAATGAATCCACATTGAAACAATGTAAGCTGTTTTCATAAATAACACTGCCAAATCCACCGAAATAATATATGTCCTTTCCTATAGCGACTGATGAATAGCCCCTGGTACCTGGTGGCCATGTACCAGTAGTAGGTTTCTGGTCCCAAGCACCAGTTGGTAAGTGATACACTTCCATTAAATCATATTGTACTCCAGACCCGGCCCCACCCCACATATATAGGTAGTCTCCTACCTTTACTGTGGAGTGTCCCGATCTCTTCACTGGTTGATAGTCTATAGAGAACAAGAGGTACCAGTAACAAACATAGTGATGAGTTAGAATAAGGACAGGATACAGAGGAGTAAAGTAAGTGAGAGAGTAAGAGAGACAAAGAATGAATGAAAGAGATACAAAGAGAAGAGAATAGTGGCACTCACTTTTAGATGCCATTCTTGCAAATACCAGCCCCACCCTAACCATAGATATTAGAGTTACGCCCTAACTACTATACTATACTAGATACTATGCAAGATAAGACCACACCCATCTGTCCAAATTCATAAAATCAAAATGAGTTCCAGTCGTGGTGCCAGTAGAAAATCTGCTGGTTCAGTCTACTAGACTCAAGCCAAATCCAAACTTCTTCACTTCTCCTAGTCAAAGTGATGGGGTAGGTAAGGAGGGGACTGTACCAGAATCCTTATTGAAACAAGCTCGTAAAACCGGTTCACTGAACCAGTCAAACAGGTAGGAGGCTGTGTGACACTTGTAACATGTTTTTTATTTTACCAAATATGATCTAAATGATTTTTTGATTTTCATTTTTATGACCTGTTAATGAACAAGTGGATGTATGAAAGTTAGTGGGTGAATGTCTATAATTACAGGGGCATTACTGAGTGTTATTCCTCCTAAACTGTGGAGACTCAATATTGATCCTCCTGATGGTAGTACTGCTTCATTTGATGTTGATGAGAGATGGTGGGACCAGGTTGAACTGACTAGACTAGATCTATCATCTAATGAAATCAAAGAAATGTCACTGAAGATATTGAAAACTTTAATTCATTGTCAGCGCTTGAGGTGAGATTTTTAATATAAGATTTTTAATATCATTATAATACATGTTTAGTGTACATGTATGTATGAATTAAATTGTAATAGCATGGTATACTGCATGGTTTGAGACAACTCCCTTGAATGTTGTACATTTGTTTATAGTTTAGTTTGTTGTTTATTTTGTGATCAAACTGGATAAACTTAGTCTATCTAAAATATTTGCAAGGTAAATATTGTATCCACTCTCTACCATATGTATGTTAAGATATTGGGATTGGCAGGGATAGTCGCAGACTGTAGTTGACAATAAATATGATGTAAACTCAAGTTAATACCGAGAGGAAAAACAAAGAGAGAGAGAAAGATAATACACCAGAGCCAAGATAGCATCAAAGAGAGAACAATAACGACTGAACAGAACAAATCAATAACAACAGACAGTTACGGACAGAAGCAGACAGTTAGTTAGCAGAATAGACTGTGCATGCATCACACCTTATATAACAACTATAACCACAAGTATGAATAAGATAACCACAAACTAAAAATACAATATCAATAATAATTAGGATAGATTGACAAGTGTACATTATAATACTATTATTTCTAACAATGTATGCATGTACGTACTGTACCATTATACATGTATGTACATGTACATGTACATGTGTATCAGAATAATGTTAATGAGAGAATAGATTGAATGAGAAAACTTAAAATAATGAGGAGTAAAAGAAAGAGAGGGGGGACCTTAGCTTTCATTTCATGTGCTCCTCCTATTAGCTATACTGCATGGACAGTATTGCCTTAATTTGTCTTCATAACATTGTGCATTAATTGATACATGTACATGTACATGTGTATTTATAGTCATTTTCAGTTAATAATACATGTACATGTACTGCATGTTTTTTGTTTCTGTTGCTTTTAGCTGCTTCATTGTAGTTAACTTATTAATTTGCTAACTTGATTCGTACACTTTACTAATCCATGAAAACTGTACCTAAGCAGTGGCACACACAATTATAAGAAAAAGTGACAGTAAAACAGGAAACATTTCCTGTATTTTAGAATGTACATGTAAAATTTTTACTGATGCATATTATACGTTCTTATATTGTCTGAAAAATTTGAGCTGATTTTGATTAAAAATTATTTTTTATGAATTTTTAATGTTGCTCCAAATGCCCTGGATATTGTTTGTGCTTAAAATATGCCTCACTTAGCACACTTTGTGAGAAATTTAGAATTTGCATGAACATTAAATATGATTTATAACAATACTTGTTATTTTATGTGTTTATTTGTAGGTGCTCTGTTGATGGTTGTATTTCTTACAAGTTTTCTCCGGTTGAAGAGGGTACTGATTTCTATTTGTCTATTTCTTAGTCACGTTTATTATACGGAGTCTTCAAGCTATCATGACTATCAAGAGATACACAGTAAGAATGCAGGAACATGTACAAAAGCTTGGGATTGGATATGTAAGTGATTTTCTCCCTCCATTCCTATCTCTTCTACTTTACTCTCTTTCTCTCTCTCTCTCTCTCTCTCTCTCTCTCTCTCTCTCTCTCTCTCTCTCTCTCATTCTTTCTCTACTCTTTGTCTTTGTGTACATGTATAGATTCCAAGGTTTGTCTGGGTTGTGTTAGAGAGGGATCTTGTGGATTCTTGTAAAGCTGGAAATGATGTTATTGTTACTGGTATTGTCAGACAGCAGTGGAAATCTCTCAAGTGAGAGTGGCTTTAATTTCAAATGAATTTGCAGCACATTTTATACTATCTTACCTGTAGCTCTGGTAGTACGTGTTTGTTGGAAGTGGTTATATACATGCAAATCACATTGTACTGAAGACATCTAGTCAAGACAAGAATGACATCACTGATGAAATAGTATTGTTTTTATTCTTATATTTTATTGTATCATTAATAATTTTTTAATGCTTAGAAATCGTTTTTTGATGCCTTTTGGTGTAGTTATAAGGACAATCCATTGGAAGGTCATAATGTAATTATTGCTAGTTTCTGTCCTCAAGTATTTGGACTATATGTAGTTCAGTGGCGGATCTGGGTGCAAGTTGATGGTAGGGCCAGGAAGTGGGTGTGTCCACTTTTCAACCAGTCATTTTATGGTTGGCCATTTTTATGATGGGTTTCAACAATTTCCTTATCTATGCAGTGCTTATAATGCTCTTCAAGCACTTGTACAGGAGATTGCACTATCTTTGCAACAAGAGTAGAATTGGAAATCTTCCTTACCTTCCTTATAAGGGAGTAACAGCTACTTAATTGTTATCCTCAATAATAAATCACCCACTTAACAAAATAAACCAACTAAAACCCTTGTTGCAAGGATTATGCAATCTCCTGTAAGTACTCTGGTGTGGCTTGTGGTTTGCTTTATCAAAACTTGAGGCAGGGAATTGTTTACATTGCATCTAATGAATCTCATTACTGACTTCTGATGCCCGGGCCATGGCCCGTCTAGGCCCGGGCCCAGATCCGCCACTGATGTAGTTAAGCTTTGTATATGCTTAGCTCTCGTTGGAGGGGTCCAGGTCAGTTTAATACATGTATTCATACCTATATTCATACC